AAAAAAAAAAAAAGAAGCTCCTTAAGAGGACAGCGCCTGTGGCTCAGTGAATAGGGCGCTGGCCCCATATACTGAGGGTGGCAGTTTCATACCCAGCCCTAGCCTAACTACAACAACAAAAAATAGCCTGGCGTTGTGGTGGGTGCCTGAGGAGGCTGAGGCAAGAGACTCACCTAAGCCCAAGAGCTGGAGGTTGCTATGAGCTGTGACACCACAGCACTCTACCTGAGGGCAACAAAGTGAGACTCTGTCTCTAAAAAAAAAAAGTAAAAATAAAGAGAAGACATTGACATAGGAGTCCCCTGGCAGGGCACCTGCCACAGGAGCGGTTGTTTATGGGAACTGGAGTCAGGCCTTGTGGGAGTGGACAGGTAGAAAGAGGCAGAAGAAGCCGGCAGACCCTAGGGAAGATCTCTAGCATTCTTCTTGGGAAGGTTTTCTGTTCACCTTTGAGCTGCTGAAGGCTAACAGAGGAACCCCAGAAAAAGAATGATGCCTGTTTAAATCATTTCCAGTTGTAATTTCTGTATTTGACGTTTTGGTTATTGCAGAAAAACTTTATTTTTCTTTTCTACCAAGACTATGGTCTAGCCCTTTAGCTCTAAGCAGACCTATATGTTTGTTCTCTTGGTCCTAGCCCTGTCGATGTGTCTTCCTCCATTATAGGTACTTGTTAATCATTGAGCCTCTCCAAGCCTATTTCTCCCACTGTTCATGGGCGTAGGGTGCTGAGAGGGCTGAGAATGGATGATGGAAGAGAACATGGATATAGAAGGGACTTGGAAACTAAAATCGTTCTTCAGATGGGTGTGATTATGGTATTTGGAGCGTATATTTATTCTGTTTGACTGGCATTGTTTGGAGGTTATTACCCATGGAGGAATATCAAAGCAGTTGGTGAAGAGAGCAAAACAGTCTTAATTGGTGATAAAAATCATCAGGCCCACCTACCTAATTTTTTTTATAGGGCAAAGTTAAAAGCCATGAAACTAAGAAACAAGTCCTTTATATAGGCCGGATTGCTTACTTAGGCACTGGCTGGGGGCTGCTGCTTCCCAGTTTCTCTCAGACTGCCTCTGTGCCCACTATTCTCATGGTTCTGCTTCCCTGGGCTGCTGTTGGTACCCGAATCCACTTATTGCAATTTGTGTTTGCAGGCTCAGTGCCAGACCAGGAGTTGGAGGTGTTCGATCTAGAGTTGGGATCCAGCAGGGCCTTCTCAGCCAACCAACACGCACAGCAACCTTCCAGCAAAGATTTGATGCCCGGCAGAAAATTGGCCTTGTGGATGCCCGGCTCAAGCTAGGAGTCAAGGATGCTCGGGAGAAGCTTTTGCAGAAAGATGCTCGGTTTCGGATCAGAGGAAAAGTGCAGGATGCCAGAGAGATGTTAAACTCCCGCAAGCAGCAGACCACAGTGCCCCAGAAGCCCCGTCAGGTAACTGATGCCCGAGAGAAGATCAGTTTGAAGAGGAGTTCTCCTGCTGCCTTCATGAACCCACCCATTGGGACAGTGACACCTGCTCTGAAGCTCACCAAAACCATCCAGGTAGGTTGCAGCCTTTACCGTAAATTCCTAAGGTAGGAAATTAACAAAGGAAGATTGAGGCAGGGGGTCCAGGAGCATTTGGACAAAAATACAATTCTTCCAAGTGTTGGTATAGCACTTTGTTGCTTAGAAAGGCTTAAGTACATTATAGTCAAATAATCATAAGAGAATGGCAAGGTATTATCTAGTTTTATTTTTAAAAAGGTAGGGGGCTGGGCATGGTGCCTCATGCCTATAATCCTAATACTCTGGGAGGCTGAAGCAAGAAGATTGCTTGAGCTCAGGAGTTTTGAGACCAACCAGAGTAAGAGTGAGACTCCATCTCTACTAAAATAGAAAAATTAGCCTGGCATCACAGTGCATGCCTGTAGTCTCAGGTACTTGGGGAGACTGAGATAGGAGGATCACTTGAGCCTAGGAGTTTGAGGTTGCAGTGAGCTACAGTGATGCCACAGTACTTTAGCCTGGGCAACAGAGCAATATTCTGTTTCAAAAGTTGAAGTGGTCCATGGATTTTAAGTGACTTCCTTACTTCCCAAATGAGATAGTAATGGAAGAAAGAGGGGAAAGGAGAGAAGACTTACTGGACACATGCTGTGTACCAGGCACATCACATATATGATCTTATGTTCCTCATTCCGGCCCTAGGAGTTTTATAAAAGAAGAATCTTGGCTCAGTGCCTGTAGCTCAGTGGCTAGGGCGCTGGCCACATATACCAGGGCTGGCAGGTTTGAACTGGCTGTGGCCTGCCAAACAACAATGATAGCTACGACAACAACAAAAATGCCGGGTGTTGTTGTGGGTGCCTATAGTCCTAGCTACTTGGGAGGCTGAGGCAAGAGAATCACTTAGGCCCAAGAGTTTAAGGTTGCTGTGAGCTGTGATGCCATGGTACTCTACCAAGGGTGACATAGTGAGACTCTGTCTCAAAAAAAAAAAAGAATCTTGAGTCTCAAATGTGAAATATGTCCAACACGATACAACCTGCCAATGGGAAGATCGGAATAAGAACCCAGTTAGGTCTGGCTTCTAGTTCCTTATCCTGGCCACCCTCCACAGCTGCCACCCCAGAGGGAAAGAAACTTCATTTGCCCTCTGCAGCAGCTTGGGTGGTAGGAACAGCAGCAGGGGTAAACATTTATTGAGCCAAGTTCATTAAGCCCTACATGTGCATTACTACGTGGTCTGTGGGTGATTTTTCTTCCTATCACTTCCTGCTGTGGGGTAAGGCATTATGTATAGTGCAGTGACCAAAAGTGTGTGCCCACCATGTATCAGGTTTGGTGACCCCTCCTCAGAGGACATGCTTGCACCCTGTGGGATGAATTGTGACCACTGAGTATTTCTAGGTTCCACAGCAGAAGGCCATGGTACCACTTCATGCCCATCCTGCTGGAATGAGGATCAATGTTGTCAATAACCACCAGGCCAAACAGGTAGAGTGTGTGTGTGTCTGTGTGTGTTTGTCAGTGGTGTACACATACATGAGTCTGTATACATGCATATGTCTTAATGGGGCCTACTTGGGTTGTTTGACTGAGGCCTGCCCTAGGTTCTCAGTTTGAAAGTATTGGAGGACAGGTTACAGTTGACTTTTCTGTAATTTACAAGTTTTAAGAAAATCCTTAATGGCAGAGGGGAAATGTAAGTGGCAAATTAAATTATTAATATTTTATTATGAAATTATTCTTTTTTAAAAAATTGAGAAAGTCTCACTTTGTCACCCTCTGTAGAGTGCTGTGGTGTCACAGCTCACAGCAACCTCAAACTCTTACTCTCAAGTGATTCTCTTGCCTCAGCCTCCCTAGTAGCTGGGACTATAGGTGCCTGCCACAATGCCCAGCTACTTTTTATTGTTGTAACTGTTCAGCAGGCCTGGGTTTGAACCCACCAGCCCTGGTACCTGTGGCTGGCACCCTAACCACTGAGCTATGGGTGCCCCCTGAAATTTTTTATTCTTTTATTAAGTGTTTAACACTGAAATTTGCAGAATGTCCCTCAAGTTCTTATTGTCCAAACCCCAACCACTTTTGAGATTTTGCCGTAGTTCCTTAAGTGTCATCACTTTTAACTTGACAGGTAGTTGTAGTTGTGGTTGTATTCTTACCCAATTTTATGCTATTCTTTTTTTTTTTTTTTTTTTTTTTTGAGACAGAGTCTTGCTCTGTCACCTGGGCTAGAGTGCCATGGCCTTAGCCTCGCTTACACCAACCTCAAATTCCTGGGTTCAAGCGATCCTCTTGCCTCAGCCTCTTGAGTAGCTGGGACTACAGGTGCCTACCACCATACCGGGCTAATTTTTCTATTTTTTTAGTAAAGATGGGGTCTCACTTTTGCTCAGGCCAATCTCAAACTCCTGGCTTCAAGCAGTCCTTCAGCTTTGGCCTGTTAGAATGCTGGAATTACAGGCATGAGCCACTGTGCCCTGCCTGTCACTCTTTTTTCCCTTTGCATTTAAAGCATTTTTCTGTGATGTTTCACATTCACTGTAAACATTTTTGTAATTGCTTAATCCACTGAGTTGACATTCTAGTTTATCTAAACTTTTTCCTGTCATTTTCACTGATAGAGATCCTTCTGCTATGAACATCTTTGTTCAATGAAGCTCTTTCCAGGGTTTGGATTTACTTATATAGGCCAGATTACTCAGGATGGACTTTCTGAACCAAAGGATATAAATAAACACTTTAGGGACTCTTGCTAAGTATTACCCACTTGTGAAAGGCGCTTTTAGACTTGAGCCCAGCCTCCAAGGTTGGTCTTCCAGGTACCTGACTCGTTTGCCCACTTCTCCTAGGGGCCCTTGCTGCAGCAGTCATCTCCCTGCTGTGCTTGTTCCAGATATCTGTTGAGGGCCTGCATGCCACAGTAACTAAGATTTCTTTATTCTCAGAATTTATATGATCTGGACGAAGATGATGATGGCGTAGCTCCCATTCCTACTAAACAGATGAAGTTTGCAGCCTCAGGCAGCTTCCTGCACCATGGGGTACGGCATTTTGTTTTCCTTACATACTCTTATGTGTCTGATTGGGTAGATCGGAGAGCTTTTGGAGAATAGGGCCTTTCAATGCAGAAATATTTTTTATCTAGCAAAAGGATGATGCCACGGCATTCTACCAAGGGCAACAAAGTGAGAGTCTGTCTTCAAAAAGAAAAAAGTGGGTTTCTGTGCCCAGCTAGACAGAAACATATCCAGACATGATCTTGACTAAACTTTTGGCCTTCTGACCAGCCTCTAGCTGTAGAGGTTTAGAAAGTCTGAACAGTGTAGATGAGCCTGTGGTTCTTAGGTGAGTTTTCAGGTTGAGGCTGTGTGGAAACTCCCTGCCAAGAGCCCCGCATTTCTTCCTCCCCTTCCCTGTGGGGTGTCACTAGCAGCTTTTTTGGCTGTAGACTTCTAATGGGGTTGGAGAGCTGGGGGGCATTGACGCTTTATCCTTTCAGCTAGTTGTCAGCACCTCACCTTAGGGCTTCTTCAGAAGAGCCCAGGACTCTGGCTTCTCACATCCTTTCTGTGCTTTTGTTTAGTCTGGGCTGAGCAGTTCTAAGCTCTCCATGTCCAAGGCCCTTCCTCTCACCAAAGTGGTTCAGAATGATGCCTATACAGCACCTACTCTCCCCTCTTCTGTTCGAACAAAAGCTTTGACCAACATGTCCCGGACACTGGTGAACAAGGAGGAAACCCCCAAAGAGCTGCCACCTGCTGAGGTGAGGTGAAGGTGACCACACTAGTTAGGAATCAACCTGTGCTAGGTGTGTAAAGTGCTGCATTTTCTCCATTGGGTCCTCTCAATGTGAGGTTGGCAAATCAAGACCTAGGGACATCTGCCCTCAAAAAACTTGTAGGCTTGTGGGGACAGCAGACTGCAGAGAGATTGCTGTCATAATAGGGTAGAGGTTCTCCCAGAAGAGAGGGCTGGGAGTGCTCAGGAAAGAGCACCTCATCCAATTTGGGAAGTCTGGGAAGGCGTTTAAATTTCAAGAAAGTGGCTCAACTGGCTAATGTGCCAGCCATATACACCTGAGCTGGTGGGTTCAAATCGAGCCCGGGCCCGCCAAACAACAGTGACTGCTGCAACAAAAAAATAGCCGGGTGTTGTGGCGGGCGCCTGTAGTACCAGCTACTTGGGAGATGGAGGCAGGAGACTCAGTTGAGCCCAGGAGTTGGGAGGTTGCTATGAGCTGTGATGCCATGGCACTCTATACCCAGGGTGACAGCTTGAGGCTCTGTCTCAAAAAGTAAAATAAATAAATAAATAAATTTCAAGAAAGGGCCATTTGGCTCAGTGCCTGTGGCTCAAGCGGCTAAGGTGCCAGCCACATACACCTAAGGTGGCGGGTTCGAATCCCCAGCCCGGGCCCGCCAAACAACAATGATGGCTGCAACCAAAAAATGGCCAGGCTTTGTGGCGGGCGCCTGTAGTCCCAGCTACTTGGGAGGCTGAGGCAGGAGACTCGCTTGAGCCCAGGAGTTGGAGGTTGCTGTGAGCATGATGCCATGGCACTCTACCCAGGGGGATAGCTTGAGGCTCCGTCAAAAAAAAAAAAAGAAAGGGCCAAGTGAGCCTGGGAGCACAAGCAGCATTCCAGACAGAAGCTTAGGGCCTGAGAGGCCTGGGCATTTGGGAAGGGGGAGAATCCATGTCTTTAGCATAGAGTAAGGGGGCTTTGGTGGGTAGTGAGCTCCAAGGGGCCTAGTTGTGATGACTTTCTGTGGATATGTCCTGTGGGTCTTCCTCATCCTATGCTGAGAGTAAGTTCTATTGCATGAGTCTGTGCCCACTGGCTTCTTAACACTCTTCTCTGTGTGGCAGCCTATCCTCAGCCCTTTGGAAGGCACCAAGATGACTGTGAATAATCTGCACCCTCGAGTCACAGAGGAAGACATTGTTGTAAGTACTGTAACAAGCCAGAAATTGAAATCTCAAATCACTTCTGTGGCAGAGGTCTCTAAGACCCACCCCCAAGTTTGATGATTTGCCCATAGTTGTGTGCTGGGGTAAGATTTATCAGAGTTAAAGGATATAAAACTAATGGCTCCTTAGGTGGCGCCTGTGGCTCAGCAAGTAGGGCGCCGGGCACCAGCCCCATATACCAAGGGTGGTGGGTTCAAACCCGTCCCCGGCTGAACTGCAACCAAGAAAAAATAGCCGGGTGCCTGTTGTCCCAGATGCTTGGGAGGCTGAGGCAAGAGAATCGCCTAAGTCCAGGAGTTGGAGGTTGCTGTGAGCTGTGTGATACCCCAGCACTCTACTGTGGTGATAAAGTGAGACTCTGTCTCTACAAAAAAAAACAAAAAACTAATGGCTCCTGAGGCAAAATCTGGGAAAATGAGGCTTGAGTATCCAAAATCTTCTCCAGTAGAGTCATACTAGATGCGCTTTATTCCCCCAACAACAAGTTGTGGTAACACATTTGAAATCTGGGAAGTTTGGTGGCGCCTATGGCTCAAAGGAGTAGGGCACCGGCCCCATATGCTGGAGGTGACAGGTTCGAGCTCAGCCCCAGCCAAAAACTGCAAAAAAAAAAAGAAAAGAAAAAAGAAATCTGGGAAGTTTATTAAAGACTTAGTCCTGGAGGTTAACTGGGGACTGGGCATATAAGTGTTCTCTGCCTGTCACGCACCAGAATTCTACACTCTGGAAGGAAAGCAGGTGTTCAGCATAAACCATATTGTTCATACTGTTTGGGCTTTATCGGTGGGGTGGTGGGAACTCTCAATAAGTATAACTTCCAAGATAGCCAAAGGCCAGCCTTGGCCAGCCTTGGAAGCCATCAGGCCAGCTATGTCTTTTTTTCTCCGTAGCTTCCAAACCAGGGCCAGTTGCCTGGCCTGAATCTCAGGGTCTTCAGTCCCACTGTGCAATGTCCAGTGGTTCATATTTTTTCATGAGTCTTTGGAACATTTTGCTTCCTTGGGGATGAGAGTGAAAGGAGTGAGATAGATTGGTGGTGTCTGCCTTTCTGGTCCATCCCACCTTACCTGCGGCAGTCATGGTCAAAATCTAAGCCAGGTGCCTGGTAAATAGGGGCCCAGGTGTAACCAGGATTTCTTTTTAACCTCATTTTCACCCAAAAGAACCATCCAGGCCGGGCACGGTGGTTCTCACCTGTAATCCTAGCACTCTGGGAAGCTGAGGCAGTTGAATTGTAGAACTCACTGGTTCGAGACCAGCCTGAGCCAGAGCGAGACCTCATTTCTAAAAAATATCCGTGCATTGTGGTTGGTGCCTGTAGTCCTAGCTACTCAGGAGGCTGAGGCAAGAGAATTGCTTTAGCCCAAGAGTTTGAGGTTGCTGTGAGCTGTGATGCACTCTACCAAGGGTAACACAGTCAGACTCCATCTCACAAAAAAGAAATGAACCATCCACACACGCTTTGTACTGTCAGGTCAGAAAATGAATGCAATTAGAGAATCCAGCCTCTCCCTGCAGCTTAGTCCTAGGTCCTGTACAGCCCACACTGGCCATTGCATGTAAGTCTTAGTTGTGAAACACACAGGTATTGTGTGATTGATATGAGAACTAAGCTATGAACCGTGCACATGAGAATCAAAATTGTAGCCTACTTTATGTGATATTTGACAAGTTGTGAAGAACTAAAATTTGTTTTTCTGATTATAAAAGTAATGACAGCTACCATTCATTGAGCGCTTAATACTGTATGCCAGGCACTTTATGCAGAATATTTGAAAATATATAATAGTGGAAAACTAAACAACTGGCATCACCACTTAGAGAAAAATTGCCAATAACAGTCTTTACTTTTCTACCCAAATAGATAATCTCAAGAGAATAGTATTAAGGTTGGAATTGCATCTCGTATCTTGTAGTCAGGCCCCTACATCTGTGGGTTTAACCAAATGTGGACTGAAGACAGTTAAATATTTTTAAACAGTTGGGCACAGTGGCTCACACCTATCATCCATACACTGGGAGGCCAAACTGGGAGGATCACTTGAGGCCAAGAGTTTGACACCAGCCTGGGCAACATACTGAGACCTCATCTCTACAAAAAAAAAAAAAAAATTTTTTTTTGAGACCGAGTCTCAAGACTGTCACCCTGGGTAGAGTGCTGTGGCATCACAACTCACAGCAACCTCAGACTTTTGGGCTTAAGAGATTCTCTTGCCTCAGCCTCCCAAGTAGCTGGGACTACAGGTACTCGCCACGATGCCCAGTTATTTTTTTTTGTTGTTGCAGTTGTCATTGTTGTTTTAGCAGGCCTGGGCTGGGTGTATGTGGCCGGCACTCTGCCCACTGAGCTACAGGTGCTGCCCCCAAAATAAGTAATTTTGAAAAGAAAAAAGAGGCTGGGCGCCTGTGGCTCAAGTGGCTAAGGCATCAGCCACATATACCTAAGGTGGCAGGTTCAAATCCAGCCCGGGCCCGCCCAAACAACAATGACAGTTGCAACCAAAAAATAGCTGTGCGTTGTGGTGGGCGCCTCTGTCCCAGCTACTTGGCAGGAGACTCGCTTGAGCCTAGGAGTTGGAGGTTGCTATGAGCTGTGATGCCATGGCACTCTACCCAGGGAGATAGCTTGAGGCTCTGTCTCAAAAAAAAAAAAAAAGAAAAGAAAAGAAAAACAAGATACGTACTGAAAAACCATAAAAATCATTTTTTGGTCAGAGGAGAGACAGAGTCTAACTCTGTTGCTTTGGGTAGAGTGCTGTGGTGTCATACCTCACATCAACCTCAAATTTCTGGGCTCAAGCAATCCTTCTTGCCTCAGCCTCCCAAGTAGCTGAGACATTAGGCACCCACCACAATGCCTGGCTAGTTTTTCTATTCTTAGTAGACACAGGGTCTTGCTTTTGCTCAGACTGGTCTTGAACTCTTAAGCTCAAGCAGTCTACCTGCCTTGGCCTCCGAGAGTGTTAGGATTATAGGTGTGAGCCACCATGCCCAGCTATAAAAATTATTTTTTGAAAGAAATAATGTTTAGGTCCGTAGCACAGTAGTTATAGCATCAGTCACATGCAACAAGGCTGGTGGGTTCGAACCCGGCCTGGGACAGCTAAACAACAATGACAACTGCAGTAAGAAAATAGCCAGGCATTGTGACGGGTGCCTGTAGTCCCAGCTACTTGGGAGGCTGAGGCAAAAGAATCACTTAAGCCGAAGAGTTTGAGGTTACTGTGAGCTGTGATGCAATGGAACTTGACCGTGGGCAACATAGTGAAACTCTGTCTCAAAAAGCAAAAAAAGAAATACTATTTAAATAAAAAATAATAATTTAAACAATACAAATTAAGAAACCAATATAGCTTACAAACTATTTAAATAGCATTTACATTGTATTAGGTATTATATGTAATCCCAAGATTTTATTTTATATTTATTTTATTATTTATTTATTTGCAGTTTTGGCCAGGGCCAGGCTGGAACTCGCCACCCCCAGTATGTGGGGCTGGTGCCCTACTCCTTGAGCCACAGGCGCTGGCCCTATTACTCTCTCTCTCTTTCTTTCTTTCTTTCTTTCTTTTTTTTTGTAGAGACAAAGTCTCATTTTGTTGCCCTTGGTAGAGTGCTGTGGCGTCACAGTTCACAGCAACCTCCAGCTCCTGGGCTTAGGTGATTCTCTTGCCTCTCAGCCTCCCAGGCAGCTGGGACCATAGGTGCCTGCCACCCACAGCACCCGGCTATTTCCTTGTTGCAGTTTGGCCAGGGCCGGGTTTGAGCCTGCCACTCTAGGTATATGGGACCAGCACCCTACCCATTGAGCCACACAGGTGCTGCCCGTATTTTTTTTTATTTTTTATAGTCTCACTTTGTCACCCTCAGTAGAGTACTGTGGCATCATAGCTCACAGCAACCTCAAACTCTTGTCAAGCATTTCTCTTGTCTCAGTTCCTGAGTATCTGGGGGCTACAGGCACCCATCACAACCATTGCCCTGCTATTTTTATAGACAGGGTCTTGCTCTTGCTAAGGCTGGTCTCAAACCTGTAAACTCTGGCAATGTACCCGCATCAGCCTTCCAGAGTGCTGGGATTACAGCTGTGAGCCACTGCTCTCGGCCACAAGATGATTTTAAAGTATACGGAAGGGACTAGGAGTAGTAGTTGAGGCCAATAATTCCAGCGCTGGGGGGCTAAGGAAGGAGGTTAGCCCGAGACCAGCCTGGGCAACATAGTGAGACCCCAAACTCTACAAAATATTTTTAAAAATTACTTCGGCGCACACCTAGTTATTGAGGAGGCCCAATAATAATAATAATAATCCCAGTTATTGAGGAGGCCAAGGCAGGAGTAGTGTACTATGATGGTGCCACTGCACTCCAGTCTGGGCAGCAGAGTGAGTTCCTGTCTCTATAGAAAAACAAAAATGAGCATCCATGTATTTTAATATCTATAGGGGGCTCCTGGAACTAGTCCCCTACAGGCACAAAGGGATAAGTGCAGCTCTGTATCTTGGTTTTGATGTTGAACATGTTTCCTTTTATCATTAAAAACCATTTCAGGGATCTTTCTTAAGCCTCTTTGTCCTCACTACAACCCTTATGAAAGGTATTTGTAGGTGGGGAAATGGCTGAGTGCTAGTTTATACCTGTAGTCTGTTTGTTTCTCACTGCCAGCTCAGCTTGTCTGTTCCTTATCTGGTTCAGTGTTGGGACCTGTGAATGTCTCAAGAATACTACCTAAAACAGTCCCCCAAAATCTTGGCCACAGGGCATATTTAGCACAGTGCAGCCACCAGCCACCCTAGAGCCCTTGGAATACAGGCTGTAAGTGGCAGGCAGGCAGGAACTCTTTCCCCAGTCCCAACCCTCTTATTCTTTACAGGAGCTTTTCTGTGTGTGTGGAGCCCTCAAGCGAGCTCGGCTAGTCCATCCTGGGGTGGCAGAAGTGGTCTTTGTGAAGAAGGATGATGCGATCACTGCATATAAGAAGTATAATAACCGGTGTCTGGATGGTAAGTTAGGGAGAAAGCAGCCTCTCACTCTCCCACCCCTCTCTCCACTGCTGTCAGGCAGCAAGCTTTCCTTTGAGAGGGGTGAAAGGACATCCTGGTTTAGTCACCCCTTTGGGGCCTTTTGTGTACCAGGTATAGGCAGGGATATGCTCAATGTGGGCTCCATAGCACCCTAGGTTTTGTCCCTGTACTCGAACTTAAGTCCAGCAAGAAGGGAAACACCGTATCTCCATGGGTGTTCTCATAAGAGGTCTTGCCAAGGAAGCCAAAAAGCTACAGCCTTCCCCTTCTAGATGTTGGTCTGCTTAGGACAAAGGTTTCTCTGAGGTCTGTAGCCTTGTCTGAATGTTGGCACACCTACATGAGCTCTGCTTCTAGTGAGTAAACTACCGACGTTGAATTCAGATTCATATTATGCATCTCAGGACATGTAGAGAGTAACTGTGCCCTGCTCCTTTTTTCCTTTCATTTGTTCTTTCAGTGTGTATTGAGCACCTAACTATGGACCAAAACCCTGTGCTAAAAGTAGGGAAATGGGGAGTAATAAAAATAATACAACAAAATACTGATAAAAGACCTGGATCTGGCTTGGCCCGTAGCACAGTGGTTACAGCACCAGCCACATACACTGAGGCTGGCGGGTTTGAACCCCACCTGGGCCAGCTAAGCAACAATGACAACTGCAACAATAAAAAAAATAGCCCGGGGGAGGGGGCGGCGCCTGTGGCTCAGTCGGTGGGGAGCTGGCCCTGACCAAACTGCAACAGAAAAATAGCTGAGCATTGCGGCAGGCACCTGTAGTCCCAGCTGCTTGGGAGGCTGAGGCAAGAGAATTGCCTAGGCCCAGGAGTTGGAGGTTGCTGTGAGCTGTGTGAGGCCATGGCACTCTACTGAGGGTGATAAGGTGAGACTCTGTTTCTAAAAAAAAAAAAAACAGCCAGCTGTTGTGGCGGGCGCCTGTAGTTCCAGCTACTTGGGAGGCTGAGGCAATATAATCACCTAAGCCCAAGAGTTGGAGGTTGCTGTGAACTGTGACACCATAGCACTCTACCGAGGGCAACATAGTGAAACTCTGTCTCAAAAAAAAAAAAGACCTGGATTCTTATTGGCATATGGGTGAGCTCACCTTGAGGAGTCATTGATTTGAATTTCCTTAATGGCTTAATTTCCTTAATGATGTAGAGCAGCTTTCCATGTGCTTTTTGAGTATTTGTATATTCTTTGGAGAAATATCAGAATCTTTGTTTGCTTTTTTTTTTTGAGACAGAGTCTCACTGTTACCCAAACTAGAGTGCCATCTTAGCTCACAGCAACCTCAAACTCTTGGGCTATAGCAATCCTCTTACTCTTACCTCAGCCTCCCAAGGAGCTAGGGATGAGATGCCAGCCACAAAGCTCAGCTAGCTTTTTCTATTTTCTTTTCTTTTCTTTTTTTTTTTTTTTTTTTGAGACAGAGCCTCAAGCT